CCTTTCAAACAGCAGACGATGATGCTCTCCGTAATTTATCCTTTCTTTCCTGTTCCCCAGAACAGTGTCGTTACCCTTTTCCCAAATTTCCATTGCATTAAATTATGTCGCTCTGAATTAGGAGCTGGTTTGCAGAAGGCTTGGGAAGCGCAGGGGAGGGAGCCCCGCGGCCCCCTCGGCCCCACTGGGCTGGGAAGTAGGTTATTATGGTTTCCACTCTGTATGTGCCAGCCTGAAGCACAGAGCAGGGAATTGTCCGGGTCATTCAGGAAATCTGGGGCACAGCCAAGAATAACACCCGTATCTTCTAATCCCTGATTTGTGCTTCTAATATTTTCCATTGTTGTACTTTGGGTCTTACTGAACCGAGGGCTGAGCGCTGCGCGCAAATCGGGCGCCGTGCCGCCAGGCTGAGCCTTTCTGGGACCCTATCTGAAGTCCCATTTTTAGGCGGTTGAGGTGAAGGATTTGGGGAAAACCAAACAGCCTTTATATGCAATTTGGCCACTCAGTCAATTCTGTCTAATAGAGGTCTGAAGGAGAGGGAGAAAGCAGAAGACAGCCCTTCTCGCAAGACTAGAGCTAGCAAAAACTTAAGGCTGCAGCCCCAGAAAATCGCGACGTGTACCTGGGGATGGGACGTTGCAACGAAACGCGCACTGCCGGGAGCTGTGTCTGCCTTGCCAGGCGGGAGCACACGTGGGGGAAGTGTTTGCGATCGCGGGCGTCGCACGGTGCGGCTCAGCCCAGCGCGATGCTGGTGATGAAAGAGTTTCCCAACTTCCAGTGTTCTGTACCAGCAGGCCAGCACGGCATCGATACGGGATCGCCACGGTCCCCAGGGATACGTGGCTATGAAAAGTGACTAAAACATTAGATGAGAAGATAACTGGCTTTCTGAAACAACATTTCATCACTGTTTCATTAGTTTGGGTAGAGTATTTGGACCTCAATGCTACCTTTGTGTTACTAAATAATCTTTTTTTGGAGGGGGGATTTGAAAAATCATCGGGTCCTTAAAAAGGCCGACACTGAGGCTTAAGTATTTCAGCTCTAGCGCATCTGAGGTGCAAAGTTTGGGGAGTTTGGATATCGGTGAGAATGAGACTTGGAAAGAGCTGGAGTTATGGCTGGGGCTGGCGAGCTGGAGCTGGGTGAGCTGCAAGGGAGCTCCCGCGTCCAACGGCCGTGCCCAAACCAGGGCGCCCTGATGGTGCTGGTGTAAAAGCAGTGATCGAGCAACCATCCTTAAAGCAGGTGCAGAGCTTTGTCTAGTAAGAGTGTGTGTTTTGATAAGAAACGTGCAAATTTGTAGAATGTCATATTCACCTAAACCTTCACAAAACCTTCTTAAACACCGCAGCCTGGGTGGAAAGCGCGGTGTAAGACAGTATCAAGATTTAGCACAGAGGGGAAATTAGGAAGTCAATTGTGTTTCTGTAGGAAAAAGCAGAGCCGATACTTGATATATGGAGGATGCAATGGTAGGAGGAGAATACTGGGAAACTTGGTAATGTGGTTATTAGGCTTCCGTGTAGAGTAGGTTGTAACTGATTGCATTACGATAAGAGTTGTGTAAATACCCGACAACATAGCATTGGGGTTGGCCAACATCGGGGTTTGACCCAGTGATTTGGCTTTCACTGAGCCCCAAAAGAAAGTGCCGGTTGGTGTCTCTCCAAGCTGTGGTCGGGAGGCAGAGCTTTCCAGGCAGCTTCACGCGAGTTGCCGAGGAGCTTTGTGCAGCTGGTGAAACCTTTCAGCATCTGGAGTTCTGAGGACATGAATCTGCCCTGCACAAACTACATCACCGTCGTTACTTAGTGGATCAGGGGGTGGAGGTGAGGGTGGGGAGGGAAAAGGGACCTGCCTTTACTCCTCTGATCGTAGGGGATGCCAGTCCCACAGAACACAACTCCCGTTTCTGCCACCGCGAGCAGACCTGCAGTCGGGAGGGAAGGCGTTTTTCAGGCACGGCAAGCTTTGGGGTTCTTTTGCCCAGGTAGCGCCTGCTCTTTCCCATCTCTGATTTTGTGTGTATGTCTTCAAGTTCCAAATTATCTTTGAGAACGTGTTGGTAGCGCTGTGAATTTACCTTCTTGTGTGCACAAAATGTCCTGCCAACGTGCCCCAAAAACGCAAACACTCCCTTGTGCTGTTTCCATCTGTGATTCCTTTTTTTCCTGAATGCACAATTGGTGTTTTGGAGTAGGCACAGAACATTTTGTGCCAAGTATTTGGAGCCGTGTTTGAAGCCTGCACGGGGTGCCTTTCCTCCCCTGTTATAATAGCTCAAAATGATATGTGTAATCACAGACCTGCTTTTTCTGTTACTAATTAGTTACAGCTTTAGCTGGAATGGGAAGAGAAACCAGGTGGCTCCCAACTTGCAAATCGGAGGGAAAAGTTATAGACAGTGTGCCTGCGGAAACCTTCGTCCGGTGGGTGCTGTTATAATTGTTTTCAGGTGGTCCCATATCATGTGTAGGTTTGTAACTCAATCACAGGCTTTGTGTGGTCAGTCGGTAACTGCAAAGGTGCCGTTTCATCGCTGGCCTTGAGCAAGGGCCGGAGCATTCTGGTCGGGGACGTCTCCACCAGCCCGTGCCCAGGACCCCCCACTGTCCTCCACACCGACCGGTGCCACCGGTGTCTCCTGGGGGCCTCGCTGAACCCCCTCGAGTAGCTGACAGTCGGTTCCCACTGGAGATGTATTTAATTCTCCAGCTTTTTCCTTAAGGCAGTCAAGACATACAGAACTGGCAGCCTTGCAGCTTTAGAGAAGAAAAAATGGCTTTCCAGCATTTTTACTTGCTTATTTATTCATTCATGCATTTCTTTAGCCTGTCTGCACTCATGAGCCCAGGTGATGTTAACGCAGGAGATGTTGCTGCGTTGTTTTCCCATGGGTATGAATTGAGCGTGAGGAGCTGCAGACACGTCAGGACAGTGGCCAGGAGCAGGTGAGACGCTGCAGTTGGCCTGAAACATCTCGGTATGTTTCTTTGCAAAATGAAACCCTTGAAAACTTTCTTTATGCTGACCCGTGCAGTTCGCTGTTTAAATGAAAGTGTGACTGCTGAAGACTGAGGGAGAGGCTGGTTCTGACATTATTCTGGAAGGCGCTTTTCTTGAGGATGAAGAATTGCTGTATGTACGTGTGTGGCATCAGCAGAGCCAGCGGCACCCGCCTGGGGCAAATTCTGACCGTGGGGCTGGAGTGGGGTCACTAACTGCTCGTCATCAACTTACACCAACCAGCAGCTCCACTGCCCCCACACGTGCCGTGGGATTGCCATAACCCCGAACCCTCCTAGCAGGAGAAAAACATTGCACTCATTTCCCCCCCTATTGTTTCCACTGAAGCCAAAGACAAACCTCATCTTTGCTCCAGCAGAAAAGGTTTGGCATCCTCCTGAGGATGCAGTATAAGTTTGCAGGTTGATGGTTCACATCTTCTGTTGGCAAGTCGCTTCGGTGGGCGACTGCGCGGGGCAGAGCCTGTTCCAGCCGCACACGAGCCACAGTCAATCGCGGCGTAAGCTGCTCTTGGCTCCGCCAGCGCTTGTCTGCTCGCCTGCGTTCTGTGCTCTTTCTAGTAAATCTGCATTTCTGAGCCAACAGGTTTTGGATTGCCAGGTCTGTCTTTTGTAATTTCAGCTATTTGAAATAATTACGTTCTCTGGATCCATCAACTGGATCGACAGGACACGTGGGGCCCTAAAACTGGTGACCGTGACCCGGTTGGCAGTTGCAGTGCATTCCTTCCCGGGATGCTGTAGCACACGGGTCCCGTTGCTGCTCTTGGCCCACAGTCCAGCCCGGGCTGAGCAGGAGCTCGGGGCGGGCGGGAGCTGCCGGAGCAGGTACTGCCCCGACACATCTCGCACCGGGGAGACGGGTGATGGATGCTCTTATTGCTCCCTGTTACGTGGTTTGCCACGGCTTTTGTGAAGTGTGTTCCTACCCAATCCCATTTTTCTTGGGTTTTGTTACAGTTTGTTCAATGAAAGTGAAAAAAAGAGGGGGGGGGAAGGGGAAGAGGAGATGCAGGAAAAAGAAAGAAAAGAGAAATTGGCCGGCAACACAGCTATGTCCAGATCAGCGAATAGAGAGAAAATTTCATTGTCTGAATCTCTAAATGGACTTAAAAAGGAAGATAGGCACTCGTTCTGCGTCCTTACACTTTGACAAAGCACGGGACACGTGACAGCATCACTTGCTGACAACATTTCTCCTTTTGAGACGAGCATTTTGTAATGGGAAATATAAGATATTGGCTGCGCTTCGTGAGTTATGAGAAATATATGTTTCACTGGAAAAACATATCCTTGTTTGTGGTTTTATTTCGATGATTTGAAAAGGTGGATTTCAGAAGCCTAATTGAGCATTCTCTGCCTCTGTGTACATTTTACACTTCACTTAGTGAGAACAGAGAAATGTGGCTGCTCAGGCTTACTTACAGTTTAGCTCCATTTCATCCTCTCGTCCGTTCAGAAGGTGACGCCACGTTTGGGTAGCCAGCTCTCCAGGAAAGCTCAGCAGAGAGGTGGAAAGCAGCTTCTAGCGGTTTGTTCCTGAACGATGCCTCTGATTTCAGAATAAATGAGTTATCTCTGTTGCCACAAGGTCTGGGATGATCCTGCATGAGTCATTTTCTGACTATTTTACCCACTTGCCAGCTGGAAAAGCATTATTTCAACAACAACCCTGCAGCTCTGCTGATGTTTTCCTGTGAATTTTCACTTAACTGCACTTTAAGAAAAGCCCTTAGGCATTGCCTGAGGCATTTTACTTCCTAGCCTGAATTTTGAGTACTGTTTGAGTATCGCATTGCCAACCAAAAAAGAGTAAACTTTCCAAAATGGCTCGACAGTGTTTTTATAACTATTCAAATTTGGTGTAGGGCTGTGGGAACTTCGTCAGTCAATGGGTATTTATTAGTGCAGGGACACTTCTGATGGTGATCTCAGGAATGATTCTCGCCCTCCTCCTTGCAGCTGTCTGCGGTTACGGGGTTTGTTTCAACGGTGGAAATTGCGTAGAGGGATCTTCGCAGCTCTGTCATTGCTCCTCTGGTTTCCAGGGACCTCGCTGTCAGTACGGTGAGCCGTCTTTTCAACTTCTTCCTTTAATTTTGAGTCGGAAGTGGATATGATGAAGAGCGAGGGATGCCCCAATATTTTTTTTATCCTAGCCATTGTTTGATCTGCAAAACTCCAATAATCTGCTCTCTACTTTTTTGGCCAATGTTTCGAGTGTTTGGGAAACTTGGATGTTTGGAAAGGAAATGCTTATCATGACTTGCTGTGAAACATAGCTCCGTACTGTACAATAGCCTTTATTCCTGGCTGCCATCAGCAGAGGGATTTGCTGGAATCAGAGAAGGAAGCTGATTAAAGTTGGGTCAAACAAAGAAACCCTGGGGTCATGGCCTGTGGAGCGGAGCTCAGCCCGGGGGAGCGTGGCAATGGGCTGCCTCATCAGAAGGGAGAATAGTTAAGCTCTGACTAGCTGGATCAGTTATATCTTTGGCTAGGCTTTATTTTGGGGCTGCTAAGCTTTATTTAATTAACCTTCGTGCAATATACAAATTCTCTCTTGAAGGTTATTGAGTTTCCTATGTTTGGTAAGTCAGAGATGTTCTGATTTGCTAACATAAGAGTCTGTAGCAAACAGCTGCTAAAAGCTGGAATGGTTCTCCATGCCGCGTGTACGGGAAGAGAAGCTGTGCCTTGGACCGTTGTAGGGGGAAATGGCTGTCCCTTTCCTCCCTCTAAGTCTGCAAGGTACAGGGCAGTAACAGTTACTCAAATTATCTTTAGACGATACTGATTTATAACAGCAAATTAAAGAATAAGACTTTTTTTTTTCTTCCCCAATCTCCCTCGGGCAGGCCGGTGTGATTCCCATGGAGCCCGGGCATTGTCCAGCGCAGAGGTGGCACGGACCCCTCTGGCACGAGGCACAAACCCCTCCTGGAGTGTGTCTGAGATGTGTCTGTCGGGGCAGTAGGTCTGCACCTCTGCTAGTGCCTCCTGGTACCAGCAAGGTTTCATCTGCTCATGGCCAGGTGGGACATCTCTCAAGGGCTGGTTGTCCTTCTCTCCACGGCATTTGCAACAGTGTCATCCGGAGTTAACACCACACACTAGAGATAGAATCACAGACTGGTTTGAGTTGGAAGGGACCTTAAAGATCACCCAGTGCCACCCCCTGCCCTGGGCAGGGCCACCTCCCCCCAGCCCAGGTTGCTCCAAGCCCCGTCCAACCTGGCC